CTATGTATAATTTATACAATACACAATTATTTAGAAAATTATTTGTATTGAACTCCTTAAAAATGGTTGTCTACACAATTCGTATTTATCCATGAAAATGGTTTTGCGTGAACAAAAAAATTTACGGAGACAGTGTTTAAAGTAGATTTACAAATTGTTCACAGTATATAGGGATGAATATTTAGCTATGCCGTAGTATTTTTAGATTTTTTTATAACTTAACGACGATCTAAATCATTCATTCTTGAAGAATAATTTTTTTTTGTTATAATTTTCATGTGTTTATTATATATTATAGTTAGTATTGATAAAATTATATAAAATTAATAAATAAAAAGCAACAATAGAGATACAGCTCCTTTTATGCAATATGAAATTTGGTAAATTTACTATTTGTGAGTTGCCTAACTGTTTTCTATATAATCTAGTTTCTACGTAATGATTATTACTTGTACTGCATGAGACCATTTTTTAAGCACTTTGAATTAATTTTTAAATGTATATTTAAAATTTAAAACTTTAACTTATCTAAAAATGTTATTAAAATCACTCAAATCAAATTCTTTAAATAGCAGGTTTTGTGTATTCGGTGTTATTCTCTCAATGCTATATTTTACTTAAATATTTTCTAGAAAAAAGTGTATAGGCCAGCGGTTTTTAAACTTTCGAAAATCCCTGAAAACAAAAAATTTAATCACAGCTCCCTTAAAAAAATGAAACAACATTTTTTATTAGTGTATAGTTCTATCATAGCAGATACGTATATGGTGTAAACTGTATAGGTACAATATCGATATTTACATCGCACTTTTCCTGTTAAATGCTTGCACCTCCCAAAGGAAGCACACCTTACAGTTTGGAACCACTCTGGTACAGGCAATAAAAAATATCCAATTGTTTATTTTTTAGTTTTTCTCACAAGATTTAAAATTAACCCACATTTGAATCAATAATATTAAAGTTGAATAAAAATTTTATTTTCAAATATTACTCTTGCATTCTTTGAATAATATCACAATTTAGTATACAAACAATACCTACCTATTTGCATTAACCATATCAGTTGAGTTGTAATCTATATAACCTATGTTATGTAAATACCTATACCTATTGGTGATTACTGCAATAGGTACAATAAAATTATTTTGCACTGAGTAAACTAGTATAATAGATTAATACTGTAAGACATTCCAATTAAAATACTAGAGGTTACCTAACCATCAGTATACCACCGTCTATCAACCAAGAGAAACTGAATACTTGTTAATTCAACATTTAAATTTATGACAATCACAGATTTTTTTGGTTTTAGTCTAAATAGATACATATATTTACACTTAATTTAATATTTTTATTCAATATAAAAACAATCTGTATGTTCGTTTTGCACCAAGTATTTTAGTGTTTAGGTCTTTATGCTTAAATATCGTAATAGAAATATGTACACCGATAAATCTCCCATTGGCGAGTATTTTGAATCATTTTGATGGAAAAAAATAACATTAAAAAAAATTAATTATCATTGTAACAAAATTATTAATTACATTTTATTTATTTTTTCCTTCAATATTATATTGATTCTAATTAGGTTTTTTTATTTGGATTTTGTGTCAGTAATAAGCTTAGATTGGATTCCATTGATTTATTTTTAGTGTCTTGATCTATTTTCTTGTTTCTTTCTATGTTATTGTGGCTGGGTATTTAAGGAGATATTTATTTTAATACAGTCAATTCGCGATATATCGAATTTCAAGGGACTGAAGAAAAAGTTCGGTATTTCGAAAGAATAATTCAATAAAATTAATTTCAACAAGATTTAAAAAAATATTCAAAATTAATATTTTATTAGATTACATATTATTATAATTACATACATACATATTAAATATGAATTATTGTTTATTACTTGTAAATTTTGTTTTATTACATACATATCGTACATATTTATTTTTTTTTTAAATCGGTTTTTTTTTTTTTTTGGTGTATAGCCATTTGTGCTTACTTTGTTTACTGTATTGTCTAATTTTTAAATGTGACCAAACATTGTAGAGTACTAGAGTTATTTATCTTATCGTGTGATAATCGCCGAAACAAACACTGTAATAGCAAGCTAGTAGTAACAATAGTAATAATAGTATCTTATACAATAACGACGTCATGTATTTTATCCTATCGTATAATAATTATACATTGTCGAAACTCGTAAAATTCGTAATATCAAGCTCCAAAATTGTGAAAATTCGTTACATAGCGAGAGCTTTGGTCAAAAAAACTTCGTTATATCGAGGGGACTAAATACATGTAATGTTTCGTTATATCGCGAGATTTTCAAGGGATCGATAGTTTTATTCGTTATATCGAGATTTTCGTTATAACGAGCTTTTTTATATCGTGAGTTGACTGTATTATCTATATGTTCGAATAATTTAAGTCATTATATTGTAGTTTATATGATGAATGGTTGTTCTATTATTAAAATATACTATAGTATACTTATGGCCGTTAGATACAATTGCAATTTTTGATATTTTATTAGCTCATCGTGACCATTAGGGGGCTAGTGGAGAATAGAGAATGAAATGTTTAACATTCCCAACCGATATTTATCCCCTCTCCCGAAAAAAAATAGTTGACTTTATGATGATTAAGTATCCTCTCGCACGTTACCTACCTAACAACTCATTCCGTCGCCTTTGTCTCAAATGGAAATGGTTACGTGATCTATTAAACAGTATCTAAAAACCAATAAATAATATTATATATATATGATCTACCCACTCTCTAGGTTTTTTAAAATAAAAAAAAATAAATATATTTTCTGGAGCAAAATACTTGAAAATTTAATACAAGATTTTAAAATTCACATTCGCAGTATTTTTTTATGAGCATTTAAATTTAGGATTTTGATGAAACTCGTAAAATGCAATACAAATTTAAAATTATTTTGTTGTCAGAAATTCATAATTTTCTTTTGATATTTAAAATTATCAAGTTTAATACAAGATTCCTCATTAGTTTTTCTACCTACACTAAAAAACAATTACCGAAAAGTTATATTAATTTAATTAAGCGTTTGAAATTTAAATTTTTACGACATTGTAAGTAAAATATTTTATTTCTCCTCAAACGATTTTTGATATTTTGTTATTATTCAAAAACGAATAATGTGATGTCCATATAAATACTTGAAAATTTTATCAAACGTTTATTTGATTATTTAATGTACAAACAAATATTTTTTAAATATCTGTATTCTACTTCAATTATGTATATACCTACAATTGGTTGATGTTAACATTTTCTACAAATAATATATTTTTCTAAAAACTTTAAATATATTGAGCTATTTTTAAATATTTTTAATTTTGGATAAAAAAATTTTCACTAGGTAAAAGTTTTTGAAAATTGAATACAAGGTCTCACGTAAGCTGTTATTATATTTATATAAAAATATTAAAAATATATAAGTAATTATTTTTTCATGTATTTGAAGTTATAATTTATCTAAATCTCTTCAAATCACGAAAATTTGCAAATGGTTTTGCTATTGAAAATTAATAAAATGTGCAACTTTTACAGTTAAAGCTTATATTTAACCTATACTGATATGTTGAATTCAAAATGAATATATCCATCGCAGTGACTTATAGACACCTATCGTATAACAGAGCGATATACTCACTTGCCATCCTTTTTTAAACTGTTATTTTCATGTTATAGATCAACATTTTTATTATTAATTATTAATTATTGATAAAAAAAAGAAACGGGTAAGATAATAAATAGTGATGAGTTTGTACAATTTTGAAAAGACCATTTCAATGATTGGCTTACTTTGTTCACGATAATCGAATAATATCACATTCGTAAAAAAAATTACATACTTGTTGTAAAACTACTTGCTTTGTTCAGAATCTAAAATGTCTAATATGTGTATCGACTATTGGGTACGGGAATGGGGTTTTATACTTTTTTTGAGGTATCTTTCCAGTATTTTTAATTGTGCTAATGATCACATGATATTACTATACTGCAAAATATGTAATGATGAGGGCTAATTAAAAAAATTAAGCAAACAAAAATCTTTACGAAATACTACCTAGAATAAGAGAATGTTACATTTTATAGAGTAAAAACGTTTTGTATTTTTGTATATAAATTCAATAATAATATTATAACTTTCTAAATCTAGATTTTAAGTTAAAATAGTTGATATATAATCTGATTATGTTCTCTAAAAATACAAACAAATATGCTCCTTTATATTTCTTAAAAATGAGGAAAAAACTTTTTTATGTAAAAATACGCTCAATATGCAAATATATATTATTTTTATTATTTTTTTTTTTTTTTTTTGACAAAAAGATCCACTTATGCGTGAATAATTTTTTATTTAACAAGTTACTAATTATTATAATAATATAAAATTAAAATCTTATAATAAATTAATAACTATAAAAAGGAACATAAATTTATTACAATATGATAGAAAAATTATTATCATTAATGATAATAAAAATAGTGAAGTTCTCAAAATAATAAATTTAAAATGTTCAAGTATTTTTTCTCACATTAAATTTATAAAATATTTCAAGATATTTAAGTTAGTGAAATTAAGTTTTGTTATTAATAATCTCAAATGTAACTACAGAAAAACATTTTCTTCTAAATTATGTGTTAAAAAAATTGTTCACATTATTTATTCTCTTAAGACTGCTTAGAACTATGGAGTATCTAATAAGTAATAATAATATGTAAAAACCTAAATATCTGACCCTAGTTCCTACTTCCTAATCATAAATTATAATAGTATAATGCCGTAGTACCTACGCTCACTATAGTAATAATAATAATAATAATATGACGACACGACTATGCATCGTTACATAAATGCGGCGCTTGCGCAGGGCCGGCTGACAACCGGTACCGCGGATTGCGGCGCGTGCGATCAGCTGTTTCGACACCCGACGACGTCGCATTCTGCAGTTCTGCACTTCTACGTTTGGTAATCAGTAGTGTCGTTGCCGTCCTCTTGTGCGTACGCTTTTTGTCTGAATTGAACCGTTCTATTCTTACGGTGTACTTAAATAGTATATTATTTTGTAAAACACGATTGCTACTAAGACCGAAACAAATTTATAGTGATAATAGTGCAACGCAATAAGATTTCATCGTATCCGTGTAACCAAAATCCGTACAGTTTTTATGACGAATGTGTACGTTTACGGTGTTTTTTGAAAAATCTTCCGAAAACTGATAATAGTATCGTGACAACTACGAATTTTCCACCGGTGTAGATTTCGATCGAACAATTTCGAGACTATCACACCGGTATTTACTACTATCGCACACGATGAACTTGATGTGTACCGAATCACAGACGGCATCTGAAGATAGGTGTTTTGCTGAGGACCGGACTATTTTTCGGGATGAACGGGCTGTTAAGAAGCTGTTGGAGACCGAGTCACAGTACGTGCCCGGGTGTGATTACATGGCCCACTCTCATTCTAACTTGCAGCCATTCATGAGAAGGGTTGTGGCCACGTGGATGTTGGATGTGAGTTTATTATCGTCATCATTAAAAATTAAATGCGTTAACTACAACGGTGGTGGGAGTTTATCATCATCGAAATTCACAGAGGAATGCGTAAATTTATCCGGTGATGATAAATCGTGCGTCACGAGCAGTAGTAATATAAAACCACTGATTGCTGTGCCAGCTAAGTGACCTTTTTTTTCGCCGTCCCTCTCGATTTTTGCCTTCAGATAATACGGTATTTCGTCTAATACATTAACTCATTCATGTTGTTTTTTCCCTGCCGATATTATGGATTTTCATACTATACCTGCTCCCTAGATTAAAAACTGAATAAAACTAACACAAAATAATTGAAGCTGGTCCGCTGTGTTTTGAGTTGGAAAATGTTCAAAGATAGAAATTGTTTTAACTACCTTATTAAATAGCAGATGTACCGAAATATTTAATATAATATGATTAACATGCTCGAGTTGATGATTTTCCGACCGAGAAATGACAAAAACAGATTATTTAATAACACAAGTTTCTTATCTAATATAGTAATGTAATAGATATAAAAGTCTATGAGTTAATATGACGTGGTGCATCTCCTCCTCTCTATGATGGATTAAATCTATGCCCCAAGGCTAAAAAACAAAAATTTTTCAATATCATTTTGATTTATTAAAAAAAATATAAAATCTTTAATGTTATAGTTTATACATTACATATAGGTAAATGAAAAATGTTATATCTCTTTTCACAATCAGAAAATCCAAAATCCTTCACTGGTACCTAACCTAATCGAATTGAAGAACGGTTATTCAAAGTTGTGTGATATAATATTTTGATTTTTGATTTCCGATCGGCGGGCGACGCCGAATTATTGAAATTTAGACGACTTAGTGTTTTCAAAGTTTATCGTTTGTCCATCAACAATAAAATATGTATGGTATAAATAATTTTATTATTATGATTATTATTACGACAAGTTCGTGGCAAAAAACAATAATACTTGATAATATAATAATAACAATAAAAACCTTGCGTATATATTTTTTATTTATACCTATTTATACCTAAATGTATAAAGCGTATTTTATATACGCAGGTACACGTGGATTGCACGTAATTTGAATATGGTCACTATGTAGAAACTGATGCATTATTTATACTGTAATAACCATAATAAATATGTTCATGGTTTTGGTTATGAGGGGGGGGGGGGTGAACGGAGTACCACGCAAGTGCGCATACGTATATTATGTGCATATTATATAATATGTATAATACAGAGTGATTTACCATTAACATGTTGTCATGTTCACTTCCGTTTTCCTTTTAATCTCGAAATTTTTCAAATTATTATGATTCAAAATTTTTTAAATATTTATACTTAAGGACCATATTATTTTCAAATAATTTGATTTTTCATACCATTTAAAATGTATTCATTGGTAATAAAATTCTTTTTTTACTGTACATTTTCAGCAGATAATTTTTTGAAAATTTTGATTTATCTAAATCGAAATTCCAACTAGTAATTATTAACAAGTATCCAAGTTTTTAAAATTCTTACTAAGAATGATAATTCTTAAGAATGACTTTAATAAAGTTTAAAATAAATCGTTGTAAAAATCCAAATATTTTGAAAATACTATACCTAAGTAAGTTACCTTGGTTTATAAAAATCATAATTTGAATAAATTAATTATAATATAAGAAAGAAGGCATGAACATGCTTGATGAATAGTTCTGTATTTGTTAACGTTGTAAACTGCGTAGTGATATGTACCTGTTATTATGTTTTTGTCGGATTGGAGATTTATTATTACACAATCTAACTTTTGACCGTTAGTATGTCGTTCCCATTAGAATAAAAATAAGGAACTACTCCATTTTTGAAATGTTTCAGTTTTTCCGAGCAGATATGTTATTATGATGTTTTTTTGCAGTGAAAACGATAGAAATTTAACACCTCAACTTAATTCTGAGATTAAATCGAAAAACATATGTTGTTCTACAGTTTTCCGGCTTACAAAATCTTTAAATCAATTGTAAAAACAATTCTTTTACGAGTCTATGATATTTATTACTTTATGTATATTACAGTTTTTTCCACAAACGTGCACGTTATCTCTCTCTTTTCATATTATTTACCCGTGTGGCGTATACGGTGTCGCGGCTTCGGGTTTCTCTATTATTAAAATATACTAATTAACGTTTGTGAAGCGTTTACACGACTACGCATAAGAGAGGTGTGGACGAAGGTACGGCGGAAAGTTGTTCGCATAATACCTACGCTTAAGAATGTATAAATATAACGACGACGTCAATTTGACGTTGTAGGATTGTAATAATTCATATAATACTATTATGTATGTCCGATGTCATATCATATTGTATAGGTTACTCGTAGGGTGGTACTCTACCGCCTCGTTCTATCCAACAGTAGCGTTTAAGAATAAATAAGTGTTGTTATATTATATAGGCAACAAAAATTTGTCTCCTGACGGCAGCCCGATGATAAATTTCACCAACTATCTACATAGTTTTAAATTTTTTAGTAAAAATTAAATTAATAATTTTTAGGAACTTCTTTAAATCAACACATTTTTCAACCATAATTCATAGCATTCATAGTTAATAAAATGTGTTTCATAAAATTTAACATTTCTGTTTTTTCATTTTATAAGTGTATATTTTGTTATGATTTAATTTATGAAGCATGTATACATGCATTTTGAAAATTATAAAAAACCATTAACAATTTATAAATTTTAATTAGTATGTAAAATAATTTTATTATATTATGTTTATCATAAACATGAACAATATTCCTTATTCGTTTTTATTTTTTAATTATCATTTTTAAATAATTTTTTTATATGTTTTTGGTTCTTCTGCGTGTGTTTGTGTTATGAGTTATTACTTATTATACTATCTCTATTTGGTTTTCATTACTGATAATAATAATTGTTTAAGTGTTCTCGATAAAAAAATAAACCATGTGTGAATATAAGAAATGGGCGATGATAAAAAAAAAAAAAATCGGTTGTTCTTATGTAATTCCCTTGTTTTATGTTTATACATAATATTATACCATATTATGACATCTATATAAAATGTAATAAAACTATTAGGTTCATTTTTTCTCTCTTCTTATGTTTTTCTTAAAACTACTAATTTGATACGGGATATAGTCATATAGATTAAAAATTAAAACTTAACTTTGTAGGTTCAATGACTCTTTAGATATTCAACCTGTACTGCTCAGCATTAGTTATTATATGCATCGTCGTACATAACAATATGGCACAAATATTAACTGCACATATTTTCATTTTTGACATACCAATACAAAAATAAAGATGCCATCACTTTAAAGAAAATTAAAATATACAGTTGTAATTAGTATTACAACAACAAAAAATGAATTTAAATAATGATTTAAATTAACTATTTAAAAATATATATAGCAGACTATTAGCTTCATATATTGATACACAACAATCGTATTATATAGCTAGTACCTATTAATTATAATTTAAATTAAATAATATCCGGAATCTGTCTTTGGTTTTTACTATATATTTTGATTAATTAAATTTTGTATAGGTATGCGAAGAACAAAGGTGTGAAGATCAAGTGTTTCCATTATCTGTAAATTTCCTGGACAGATTTTTATGCGCCTGTGACATATCTAAAACGCATTTGCAGCTCACTGGTGCGGTGTGTCTGTTATTAGCATCAAAAGTGCGACAATGTACAGCACTTTCCATTGAACTCTTGTGCTACTACACAGAGAACAGCGTCACTCCAGAAGAGATGAGGGTAAGTTTAAGAAAAACTATTAATAGGAATTTCTGTAGCTCCTACTTATATAGACTTAGATGTATTGTATATTAAAATTGTGGTTTAGTGTTCGAAGGAAGTCGTTTCGGTTGGTTGTCTTTTCCACAATATCCTGCGATCATTATCTCTGGGGACAAAAAAATTATTAATTGCAGCTGTTTGAATATCATAATATCGTATGAAAAACCACATTGCAATTAAGGCCTAATACTTTGTTTCCTCAAAATCCTTAGCTTTTATTGTTATCATCTCCGTCTTATTGTCGTATGTTCCGGTTTTGTCGTCCGGCTATAATAATAAAATCAGTCACGGAACTTGTCTTCGACACACGATATTAAGTTTTTTGGTCCTACTTTACAGAAACTACTGAATTAGACACTTAATAATGAATTGTCAATGTTATGATAGGGAATGTTTTGGTATAATTATTTATTTCCTGGCCGAGCTGATGCGTTTCCAATTAGGTAATTATGTACAATGTATTTGCTGTATGTACGTAGAATAATATGTCTAAGTCCTTAATAAGATAAAAAATATTATGTTTGTAGCAATTTAACTATATATTAGAAATCTTATTTTGTATTTAAACACTAACGTATCATAAACATATTTTATTTTATTCAATGATTGGGTAGTCATTGGTGCGAATATTTCGAACTTACAATCAAACAATGAAATGTGGTACTCTTGATTAATAGCCAGTAAAATGAAGTGGTGTTAATCTTAAAAATATTAAGTTTTACATTATACAAAGAATTAGGAGTTAGAACTACGACTACCGCTATAGTAGGGGTTATAGTATTATATTATTTGTAACTATTCATTTAAGTGTAATTTTGTTTAACATTTGCATGGCGTAGCGTGGTAAACAACTTAGGACAATCTAGATAACTGAACCCATATTTCATTTGTCCATTATTTTTATTGCATTTGTTTGTTCAGCAAAGGTCCGGTCCTTTTTCTCAACGATATCGTGAGAATTATACCATTTTCGTCGCTATTTAATGCAGTATATTTATGTATCTGAAACACGTTTGTGACTACAGGAACAGCTTACTCTTATGTATATTGTGTATTATACGTACTATACGACGGGCGTGTCAAAATTTTTTGATATTATATGTCCTACAATGGAAACATTTATAACACGTACATGTTTGAAATGTTACCGACCATCCGGTTTTTTGGTTTATAAACAGGGCAGTGAACTAAATTTTTTTGTTTCCTACCCCCGGACTACACATGATCAAATGTCCTGTTTAAGGTTCTCTGCGTGCTTATAAAAATATATGCGCACTTCCTTGTAAGAGTGTACATATGAATCGGGGCAAATTTGACGCGCACTTGTATATCTATCACAAAATACAAATAGATATTTTACGTGGTTGGCAATAAGTATAAAAAGAAGAGACCGGTCAACGGATTAACCCGGTATTGGTATATACCCATATAATGGTTTTTTTTTTGTTGACCTGTGTTGCACAATGTTATTATGATAAGAAAAACCTGTAGATCGTGTTTGCCACGCAAGCGGCCAGTCTGTATATCCGGCGCATTTACGCCACACGTCTTTGTACTTTCCCAGTTACAAAAACTTTTTAAATCCCATATTGTGCGTTAGTTTCCAGTTTATATATACACACATAGAAAACGAATAGGATTTAACAACATATATATGACACATGAATTTAAACATTTTCGAAGCTATTATTATATACATAGTATCTATAATAGTATTATTTTATTAAATTGAATTAAAACTGTGAATTTAAACGTGATGTAAAAAAATTGTTAATTTATTTAACAATTATAAACAAAAGCATGGATTATGAAGTTTTTTTGTTGTTGATTATAAATTACTGTTTTAATTTGTTCGTTAATACTAAACCTTTTCAATTTTAAAGCATAAATTATTATTTCGTTTTATTTAAACATAAATCGCATAAATAATAAGTATTTTGTCGGTTCGTATAGGTATGTATAACGGCGATGATACATTGCGTAGGTCAAATCGGTGAACCATCTCTGTAAAAAAAAAGTCTCATGATTATTCCCTTTAACCAATAATATTTCATATTTAATAAGACACATAGGAAAAAATTATATTATGGGCCTCGTCTAATGAGATTTAAATACGCAAAGGATGATACGTTCACGACCAACCGGTACGACCGATTCGTTCCGTGTCACCGGATACCCATTGATTACGACGCAAAATCGATAAATCAACAAGATAATTCAACCCCTTTTACGCTTTATATGCCCTTTACTAATGGCCGTTTCTCGTACACATTTTTAAGCAACATCGCACGTATCTGACTGGTTTATTCCGTTAAATTCCATAGAAATGCTTTTATATATATAGTTACCGTTTTAAAACTTGTTTTATTTTTTAGTTATACTCGTATATTACTTAAACGTACGTAAAGATAAAAAATAAATTTTGTAATTATACTTATTATTGTTTAGAATTTAAATGATAATTTTTTTTAATTTATTAAAGACAAAATAAAATAAAATTTACTTTTCCAAAACTCATTAAAATATTAGGTAGTTACCTATACAAAATTATTTTTTTTTCATTTTATAAATTAAATGAATTTTAATGAATTTTAAATGAAAGTTTTATCAAATAAAACAATATTTACCTATAGACATTCGTTAACTATTTATGTAATTTAAATTTTACATCAGCATTTATTGCAACAACCCTTTTACATCTAATATTATATGATTTTGTATTATTGAAAATTGATGTGTCATAACTTTATTAGACTTCAAATTTGTCTGAGTTTGATGACCTAGTTTATATAGGTCACTATAATTTTAAGCTATAGTTTCCTGTCAGTTTTTAGGAAAAAGAAATTCTTTTATTTGAAAATATAACGGCATTGTGTGTAGGTATACAGTATTCAACCCTTCCATCCTTTCTCACACACTGTACGGATATATTTCTCTTTCAATAATCTTTTTCAATCGAACCTTTTAGATGGCCTAATTACAGTATCCTGTATTATTAAATAATATGGTATTCTATTCGTGATATTTAAATGAACAAGACGTACGTCCTATATATCGATTACAAACACCCTTTGTTCGACCAAACATTTTTGTATACCGACCCACACTATTTTTCGGGGTCATGGTTTGCTAGACATGTGTTTAAAATCACCTTTTTTTTTTAGTAGTTTAGAAGGATGTTTATGCCTAACTTGTGGTCGCCATACAACTGTTATGCCACGTTTCCTGATGGATTCTTTTTCCCTTATGCGTCTCGAAACAGGCAATTAGTTCCACCGAAAGTATTATTTTGTTTTCACTCTTTCCAAAGAAAAACTTGATATCTACAATACCACAGGGACTAGAATGATAAACAATTTATTAGGTTCACATCAAATGTTTTCCCATGTACTTTTTATATTTTAGTTTTTACGCTTGACCGCTTGGATACACGCAACTTATCTACAATGTATTCTTGCAAAATAAAATAATTATATTTTAATTAATATTCCATAAAATATAGGTTAATTAATTGTAAAATTTCAGAATAATGTGATGATATTATTTAAATTCCTGTAATTTAGTATTTTACTATATAATTTATTATTTAGCCATCATTACGACGTTAGTGTTAACATTAAAAAATTTAAAACGTTTATAATTAACAGTTGGTCTTATTGCTACGTGTCTGTTATATATATTATAAATAAATAATTGTTTTAATACATTTTAAAATAATACATTTACGTCATTGGCCATTGCAATATAGGTACAAGGTATTAAATAATACAAATATGCAATTTGTACAAATTAAAAGAAATTTAGACGTTCTTCCGTAATCATAAATTAATAATTTATAGTTACTACTGATACATCGTTTTATACATAATTATTACATATTATATATATTATATAATTATTTCTTTATTCAATCTTTGAATACATTTTTTTTTTCAATTACATTGTAAAAAGTGTTGAAGTCTAAGTCACTAAACATTAAGCTTTTGTATTTAGGCAATTAAAATTAAAAGCATAAAAGATACACAAAAGACAGGATGGACGATTTCCAACATGTATGAAAACAATAAACAATTTTTCACGGACCTGTGGCTTCAAAAGCGATGTGTAATTGTAGACTTATTGCATACAGGGAGGGTTAAACATTTTTCCACCCTTATTTAGCCACGGTTATCAGTCACGGGGAAGCTATCGTCTTGTAAACGAGCTTGTAATTTGTCTACATTTTCTGGATCATTGTTTAGTCAGTTTAGTGCACTCATGAGAATATAGCTGTTATAAATATTATATGCAAATTTTTATTAGAAAGAATTTGAATGTGAATTGTTTATAAAAACTAAAAAGTCATAATTTCTTAAGCAAAACTGGTTGCAAAAATAACAATCTAGATTTTTTTTTAATAATAATTATAAAAAAAATATGATTTAAATTAAGTTTAGAATCATTAAACATTGTTCCTGCCATCAGTTTTTAGGTCAAATAAAAAAATTAATTAATTCATCTTTTTTAATAAGTTTTATTTTATTTTATGATATAATATGTATTATTACATGCAGTTAATAATATGATTTAAAATGACTATATGTATATCGTTTTATTTATTTTTGAAATTTATTCTATTTATGATATATTAACTTTAGAACTTTTTAACTTTCAAAAAAAAGTTTCTTTATATTATTGTAATTTTTATAAATTAATAAATTAGGCACTTTCTAATAGTATTATAGGTAATCTATTTTCTCTAAGTCTTATTATTGGATTCTATAAAAACTTGTCAATACGTTTTCGATAAGGTAAAAACTTTTTGTTTTTTTTTTTTTGTGTAAAATATAAATACAACGTTCCTCTGGGCGCATATTGTTATTGGTGGAGTTTTATTACATTTTCATGGCATGCTAGTGTACAAAATGATACTAGAATAAATAAGTCTAAACCATATTAGGTATATACAATATTACTTACAATGTATATTATACATATTATTATAGGTAATAAAGTTAAATACTTAAAAAATACATGTTTCAATTAAAGATAACAACGTTGTTTACTCATTTATTATAGTTTTAAAGGTATAATATAAAATTTCACTCGTCGGTTTATATTTTATTTTTACTTTTGATACTGTAAGTAAAAATAATTCAATTTTAAAATAAATTTAGACAAGTATTTATAGTAATAATAAATTATAATTCAAGATTAAATATTATCGTCATAACAAACAATATTAACTAGTTTTTTATATTTTTGATAATAACTTCCAATGAACATTTCCTTATATCGTTCAATTATTTCTCAGTTCTTTGCACTCTGCTGTGCCCAAATTTATTAGCCATGATTATTTTTTTAACTTTGCATAGTTGCTTAGAACAGGTTCCGCATTCGTTGCAGACAAGATAGTTTCGAAATCATGTAGATGTGCATCGGGAACAATACCCATTAGGTTTCAATGGACTGTCAGGAATTTCGCAAAAGAATAAACAATAAAAAAACCCAGGAGTTAGACGTCTTTTATTGACCTACCTTAGAAAATCCGTCATAACCTGACTACAAATGACGAAACTGACTGCAGGAGACGATAAAATTCACTGATTTCATTATTCACATTTGTGATTAATATTAAGAAATAATTCCCCCTATAACTTATTTTGCATTACCAAAATATTAAATCACAAGTCAACTATATGTAGCATTGTAGCGCTGCCTTTATTATATTATTATTATTATTGAACACATTTGTGTTTTATTTAACAAGCTATCTTTCAGTTATTAGCAAAAATTTATAATTAAATTAAATGTATGTGAAGTGTTTGTTATGTAGATTAAAATCATATTTCATATTTTAATTTAGTACAACATATTATACATACATAATAATAAAAAAATAAATAGTACCTACTTTAGTGTGATTTTAGTTATTATTAATTTTTATAATTTGCAACAATTATAAACCTTAGGGTTATATATTTTATAAATATAAATTCCATATTTATATTTGTATGGGAAAAAATAGTAGTAAAATAGTACAGTAGAAAAAAAATTATATATATATATATTATATATATTAACTTTTCCCTTTGTATATCATATTACAAAGAGCTTATATTATAAATATGTTCCGTACTTTAAACTACTTTAACTTGTTTGTTGATACAATGTTTTTGATTGTTTTTTTTTTATTGTTTTAATAATCTTTTGTATTCGTAAATAATAATCGTGAAACCAACGAGGAGACAGATTAGGGTGACAAATTTTATTTCGCAATTTCCCCTTAATTCACCCTCTCTAACTCATTTAAACGTTGACAACCGTCTAGACATTCATTATTTCATTACATTAGAAAAATTCAAATTTTTATATTGAAACTTTCAGAATAATAATGTATCGACAAACCTGTTTTTTGTAAAGGTTCTCCTTCCAAATAAAGACTTCGATAATTAATACAAATAAAGTTAAATATGGTTGCTATGCTATTCATAAAAAAAAAATTTAAAAATATATTACTTATACTTATAATTTATATTTAATTTTTTTATGATTTCTAGGAATGGGAGTTGTTAGTTATTTCTAAATTGGAATGGAGAATTGTAGCTGTAACTAGTTTCGATTACGTAGATCATATTATGGAACAAATTAAATGGAAAAGACGAAATGATTCAATGCTCAGAAGGCATATGTTGACACTCATCTCCTTCTGTTATATAGGTAAGTACTGATTACTATGTTATGATTATTTATAACTTATAAGCAATAGAAATAGTACGTATATGGATTTAAATTACGTTTTATCAGAGATCAACGACAGAAAATTGGGTGATATTAAACTAATTTAGCCCACATTTGTTGTATTAATAACTATCACATATAATATACGTATAACATAAATTTGAAAAAAATCATTCATTATAATAAGTCATATACTATTGTTGTAACAGTTGTTCCCAAAGTATGGACTTAAGGAATCTCCGTATTTTTCTTTTAATTCGGTATACTATCGAAACTTAAGGTAAAATTCATCGTATATATTAAATCATAATATTATAATAGTAAACATTGAAGATATCAATTTATACGGGTGGGATTTATTATTTGGTTTATTTTAGCAATGAAAAATTATTCTCCTTCAAAGACACAAGTAGTTCATAATACGTGCGTACCCTTTCAATTAAATGTAATTATAATAGTCGCAGTTACTGTTGTAGTTATATTTATAAAAAATACAGTATTCGTTGACGAACGTTTCGCTTTCCGCGGCTATTCACCTCGGTTGCAATGTCAACGCGTTAATTTACATGTTTTTGGGCTACACACTAACTCTAAAACATTATTTAACGATTATTCATGTGCGCGTGTCTGTGTCGGTGGCGTTAACATAAACGTCCAAGGTTGGTATGGGACTTTTAAATCGAAACAGATAAAAAAAAAAATGAAACACTATTTAGACAATCGTGAGGAGAGGGTTCTTCAATATCGCTATTTATGTATGTTTGTTACCATCGACAACAATATGCAACAATAATCTAATTATTTTTATATATGTGTGTGTGTGAAAAAAAATTGAGTTTAATAAACTTATTTAGTTATATAAAAAAAATTTGCGTTTTACTGATTGTACCTATAATACGTTACATGATTTAAAGTTTTTACTTTTTATATTATATTATTTGTGACTATCATGCAAAACCTTTTGGATATAATATGATGATCTGATCAATTAAATAATAATATGTTCATTTTTATGGCATTCAATAACCTTGCAATTACAGTAATTATAGCTTCTATATCATTCAAAATATAATATTCTTCACTAGTTATATACGTATTCAAAAGTATATAGTGTTTTAATATTTTTATGTATTTATTAATATTTTTTGTTTTTATTATCTATTTTTGGCAAATTTGACAAAATTGAATTTTAAATCTTTCAAACATACTAACTACGTATAGAGACTTTAATAGTGGATATCTTTTGAAACTTTGGTTTTGATTCTTTTATATAATTTTTTTTTTATCGATAGCATTTTATTTTCACTATGGTTACAGTTAAATTATTTATAATTAATGATATCTTTTTATTTTATATTGTGTAGTATAATAAGATAGGATAATGTGTGTCCTATACACATAATCGGATCAGATATAGCTATATTTTATCATTTTTTCTTAAATGAATTAATTAGATGTAAATTTTAAAATTGAAAATGCATTTAATAAAATTATAATTTATTGAACAAAAATATACAAGTATATAAGTAAGTATACATATTACACAAGCACACAAACTATACGCGACCATGTTCAATATTTTTTTGAGATCGGTCGACAGAATACTCTATAATTTATAAATATCATACACTTTATATACGATGTAATGCAGTATTTTGCCTTTGTTAGTTTTGATGCGCCAAAATATTGATTTTTAATTCAATATTAAATTATTGATAAGTTTGGCTGCTATGTCTATGTCGAAATGAAGTTTTTATGTGTACATTTTGTACTTTGGGCCGGTTAACATGGGCGAATTTACTTTTGCCCCCTCCACACACACACACCCGATTAGCGGGAGAGTGCTACGTTATTTCGCAGCTGCTCTGCACACATTGTATAATTTAATATATATATATATAAAAAGCTATTGTGCGCACACAGGTACTATTCGTATGACTACTGCAGGGGCTTTCACGAACAATATAAATAGTAAAGAGCGAGAGACCTTTAAAAAAAAAGCAGATAGGTAAGGTTTCCCCCCTATTTAGCACGCGCTGTACACTTCCCTCCATTCCCCTTCGATAGTATTCTTGCTACCGGTGTGTTATGATTTAGTAAATAGCTGCGGGATTTACGCCCGAAAAAAGAGTGGAAGAGAGGGGATCACACATCTGCCTCTAGTCGAATTTCTATACACTATATTATTATTATACATGTCGTTACACAAAGTCGAATAATCTAATTAAAACACCGATTCTAATAGTTTACAGCGAATAATTTTAATTATTTAATATCAATACGATTGAAATATAATATTTATAATAGCAACAAATAACATATTTCAGTTAAATAACTATGAAGTTTGATTTTGCCGTTTTAATAATATCAATTTAATATTGATACATTTAGGATATAAAAAAATGTTAAATCGATGGTTTTATTCATTAACTCTTCCATTGAACATGACAATAATCAGATTTTTATTGATTTATTGTTCTAAAAAAGATCTAATACTGAAATAGTTTTATTTTTGCGTTTATTTGTTTATGATTTACAATAACATATTGATTTGTCACAAAATAGTCTAATTTTAATTCTTCATGCGGGTCTGGCATGATTCACTCATATAAAGGGAAAATAATATTCAAGTAATTAAATTAGCAATGTATGGTAGTAATTTTATCTTTGTGGCCATCACGTGTACATTTGAAGTTATTCATCTATAAATGAAATATGGTTACATATTGTTAGTTTCATGCCGTGGGTTAGATTTTCCATCAAATATGAGAAAGATTTTATAAGCGCCTATAGGGGCATAACTAGGGGAGAAACAATAAAAAAGAAAACTAATTATTTTATAAAACAGGTATTATACCCATCATTTAAGTGAATTTAATAGACTGAAATCATATTGATTGGTGACGAGTCTATAAACTTATTTTTGTTCTTTGATAATAATGTTTTGAAAATTAATAATTTTATCAACCATATATCTTGGCACCTAGCTAATAATCCTCGCACTCACGTGTAAAATTACAGTTGCCTCAGTCAATAAAATACTTTACTAGTTAATTTATTTCACTTCTAACCATTAAGAGATGATTATATATTTAAGTACTATTTATGTATACGTAAATACTAAAACACGTACTCTTGATTGTTTATTATATTTTAATTATTATGAAATGAATACGTTGGTATAGACTATAGAGATAACTCCAATATATACGTCTGTGTATAAATAGTTCTACAAAATTATCATCTGGTGCTAGTGTAAGACTATATTATAAAAAAATAAAGGAGTACGCGCATACAACACACCTGTAAATATTGTTACTTGTTAGTACGAATATTGGTATATTAAACAGGGCCACCGCCGCCGACCCCCTCCGTCGTCGGAAGTGTAGGAAGTATATTATAAACGGATGTCTTTTAACCGGTGGTTAATACCAAGGGTAATTTCTTTGGGTTCGGACAGACGCACGTGATAAGACACGTGCTGGTTATTGAACCTCAGGGTAAACAGCCTTGGTACAGTTATTGCGAGTTTTTTTAAGACATGTGTAGATAGGCGTCGTAAGTATATTATAGGTATACCTAATACGTATAATATACAACACATTGTGCGCATAAGAACTTAAAAAGAAATTTGTTGTCTATCCTACAGATGTGTTGGTGGCGATGACCTCCATTTTTTAAAGTGTACACTCAAATACTACTTACCTATTACTATTGTATAATACTATTACTATAGAGTTTACTACAACTGCAGCGATTACTATACATATACACTAACGGTAGCAGCTGTACGACAGCAGACGGTGTGGATCGAGGTGAATGCGGGATGTTTTAATGTCTTGTTGGTTTTTTTTTTTTTAATTCCGTCGTAATAGAGGAAGTGTTTGAAAAAAAAACAAAAGGACAAGGTGTATTTGATCGAGATGGAAAGCTTCTGTCATGATGGCTACGTTAAAATATTACTTTTTCTATAGGTTTTTAAAATTCAATTGTATTCAAAAAACCCCTTGACTGGATACAAAACATCCCGAATAAACTTAACCCATTTTCAGAGTTCAAAAACCTTTCTTAACTGTTATTTTTGTATGAAATATATTACGATAACAATAACTCATAACATTTTTAGCATAATATAAAGATTAACTAAATAATGTTTTACATATTTCTATACATCTTTTTAATTTATAACAGTATAAAACTAGATGATATTTGAAAAAAAAAACTAAGTACCCAACTTACTTATAATGAAAATGGTTCATATATTAAATTTTTATAAAACATGCCTGTGTAATATATTAATATTTATAACCTTTTTAACTTAAGTTAGGTGATAATTGTATCGTGTTGTAATAATATTTGATAGTTAAAAATAATAATAAGCTAATATACAAGAAGATTATAATACAATAAATTCGTTTATTTATATTTTATATTCATATTCATATTCATATTATTATTATTATTTTAAACAATCTTTATGACATTAATCTATTATTAAAACTCTTTTTCTATAAAAATAATAAACTTAATAAAAATATATAAATCTACTGTTAATAGCTATGTATAATATCACATAAATACATAATTATATGTTGCTTCCCCCGGTGTTATTATTTATTTCCAATTATCTGTTCTCATGAACCGTTCGGTTTTTGCTCCCGTTTAAACAAAATGCTATTCCAGTTTTGACCAAATCAACCGTGGTAATATGTGATTAATTTATCTATAAATATATTAGAAATACTAATAATTATAAAAACTAAATTGAAAACTCGTAAGAATTTCGAATGTTTTGTTTTATCTATTACTCTCTATATGAATGTAGTTAAAATTTTATCGTTTAATAAATCGACGATCTGTATCGGAGTCACCACGTGTTCTACCAGGTGTATGACAGAGAGAAATTATACTAGTGTTGTACATCTACCTACCTCCAATAGTGCTGCTGACGCTAAGGGAACAAATCCAAACACTGCAGC